ATTTCACCACAGAAATGTTCCCACATGATCTACATGCAGAGTTAACAAGTAGTTTTTCCCGACAAAACCACCTCAAAGTCAAGAGCGATGTTTCTATTAGGTTAAAAGAGCCGGATTCACAAGCCTGCTTGTTGGCAGTGTAATAGGGCTGCTACACGTTAACCAGAAATTCTGTTGCCTCGTTCTGAATCGCAGAATATGGCGCTGCGCACACCTGGAAATTTACTTTGTGATGTCAGCTGGAGGTTTTACAAGTCACTGCGCACATTTGACATTCATTGCAGTTTGAAATGCGCTCATCAGTGCCGAATCTTTCCCACCCTGAAATATCTTCCCAGGCCTGCATCGAGCTCGAAGAAAACGTGGGAAACAACCACAGCTGTGAAGAGGCGGCCGCGTTGCTGAGCGCGGTAAGAGGGGGGGGCTCTCTCGGCTTGCGGAGCAGTTCCACTGCTGCAACAGCGCCATCATCAGGCAGAACACTGCCACTGCGGCCCTCCCGGCTCTCAAAGCCCACAGGTCTAATGACAGACTGTAAGAGCATAAGAAAGTCATGCCACCTGTCTGCTGTTCAGTTAGTATCCCACAGCAAACTGGCAGATCTCTGCAAATACAGCAGGCTGATCAGCAATTATTATCAATAATTCACTTGATAATAACAGAGCTCTCCAGTCTAAGAAACACTGAGATGCTTCAGGAAAATAGTGAATATGTATTCATTATTTTTTAACAGTGGATATACGTTATTTTATTTTATATTTCCGATATAAAATAATGAGATGTTTCTGCAAACCAACTTCTTTTGCTTTTGGATGGTGCTCCATGATGGCTCAACTCAGTGATGTGTTTGCTGCCCTTCCATCTTTAGGAGGGGGCGTGTGACTACGTGCTGGTGTGCAGAAACATAGAGGACGAGCAGGAGAGCGAGAGCCACAAGAAGCAGGTGGCCTTCATCCAGCAACTGGAGAACAAGGGCTTCCAGATAGCGGTGAGGTCACATCAGCGCCCAAGGCCCCGCATGTCATTATGACATCACGCGCCTGCAGTCTGTTGCCATGGCAGTGATGTCACCGGCTGGGGGGGGGCGTGTGTGGAGACAGTAGATTGATTAGTACAAGGTTGTCTTCTCCCGTCCCTGTGCTTAATGTATATGATGAGGAAGAATTTTAACATTTTTTTAAGTATATAAAATTGTGACTATTTATAAAGCTCATATGCTTTTCTGCTTAGCAACAGAATAAAAGGATAATTCAAGCATATTTTTTGACCTTTTGACATTAATATTACATCCAAGAAGAACTTGGTCAATTACAAAGAAATGTTTGTAGAGAGAAAAAACATCTCATATGGAAACTTAGAGTGAGCTTCCCTGTGTGGATTTGCTGTATAAAACTTATTGCATTCATCATCTCAGGGGGATAGATTTTTACAGATCTGGGTGAGAGACTGCTCTCAGGTCTGCATGATCTTATCCTCCTCATGTGCATGCATGAAGGACTGACCACACTTCACTTGAGTGAAGAGTTTTCTTTGACAGTAAGCACCCGGGCAGCTTGTTTCTCCAAGGCAAGCGCCTGTTTCTCCGCTGAGCTGGTCATTCTGTGTTTGCATAGACACAGTAGGGCGCTGGAGTTAGCCCTCTTTTAAAATCGGCATGAAAAAAATCGATTTTCCCAAAGTTTCACGTATTTGCTGAAAAATCAAATGGCGGCTGGCAAGCCCCCAAGAAACTGCCCGACGTGTTCATCTCACCAGGGTTTTGCCTTTGTCTGAGGGGGTGGGGGGCTGAGTGAGGGACTGAAATGCTGAGTTTATTTAACCACTGCAAAAAGGAATG